ATATATATACTATATACACACATATACATATATATTCTTATATATATGTAAAACGCAAATGCAGATTTAATAATTTCAAAATAAGTTTGCATTCTAGAATGTTTTTTGTGTGTGCCTTTTCCACCACTGATCTCCTGGGGTGGGCGGCCGCCCTGGCTCAGCAGATGTCCTCGACGAGCCTTGCCCCGCTGATGCCGCGGTAGGTGACCCTGCTGGGCCGCACCAGGACGCCGTGCCGGGGCCTGCAGCTGAAGTAGCGCCTCTCCCCCACCGAGCCGTCGTTCCTGCCCTTGGCGCTCCTCAGCTCCAGGCCCAGCCACACCCCCGGGGCAAACTCTGTGGGGCCGATGTACCTGATGGTCCCCATCTCATTGGAGCTGGTCAGCAGAACCTGAGAGCCCTCGTGCAGCTTCACTGGTCCCTCCGCGTTACCTGTGCTGGTGTTACTCCAGCTGCGCCGTAACACAGAACTCTTAGATCTAGTTGGAAAGAAAAAAAGAGTTTTAAGCAAAAACGTGTCTTTTTTTTCTAAAAAAAAAAAAAAATCCAGAGTAAATCTGTAATTCAGTGAAGTGTGGGGGGCAAAAATCTGAAAAGATGATTTTCTTAAGAAACTGGGTTTGATCTTCTGTCACTAGCAAAACATGGACTAGCGTTAACAGGCTCGTACACGTGGCGGTTGGAAACAGCTGGAAAATCAACTTCCTTTCACCCAATGGTACCATAGGTGATCTTATTGGTAAAATAAGCCATACAGAACATTTTATCTGGGACTTGAAAGGGTTTAACGAAAACAAATTTTCAACATCCAAGGGTGAGTCAGGATCACCAGGACAAATGAAGTCCTTTAACAAGATCCTCTGAACTTCACCCAGCTGTGTGAAAATACAAGAATTTGAAGAATATGCAGCCATGGACAGCTGGAAAGCTATTTTAATGCCAACCTGAATCCAAGGACTGTCATCCTGGACACCCACAGAAAAATAGTCTACTAATGTTCCATTTTGGAAGAAAAGGAATGAACATGTAAAGGTCCAAACATTACAAATGCATAAAGATTTTCTTTTGAGCAAGAAACAGTGAAGCAACCAGCCAGCTCACCCAAGCATTTTAAATTCAAGATGCTCACCTAACAAAGGAGTTTCTTCTGTTTATCTCCTTTTGTGAAGATGCCGAAGTGGTGCTTAGACTCCGTCTAAAACCTAAGTGGAAAGGTTAAAAAGCTGTGTAGGACTGCTTAAAAAACCAACCCTTTATGAACTGAAATTCTTTGTGGCTTCTTTTATATGTGGCTTGCACTACATTTGCTGCACATTCTCCCCTCCAATTTGGAAATTAAGCCATGAAACTTCTCATGAAACTGTGTGTCCGTAACACATTCAAATTCTCAGAGAGGGCAGAAATGAAATTAAACAAACCAAACAAGGGTCACTGGAAGCAGCCTTTTCACAAAAACCTTAGGGAAGGAAAAATAGCTACTTTGAGTGCTTCCCAGAAACATCAGTAATTTCATAGGGAGGACCCCCGACTACACCGAGCCCTTCCTCAAACTCGGTTTGGATTAAGGAGCAGGTTGAACTTACAGGTAACTCTGATCAGAATGCAATACAGGAATAAGGGAGGAGCATCAACAGGCTGAACTCTGACAATTATTTCTGGCAGTGTAAGGTTAATAACACCAGTGCTCCACAGTTCCTTCTGCAGGCTACATTGTCAGGAAAGGACCAGCCAGACTGGTTGCCAATTGGCTGGCATTTGGGTTCCTTGAAAAATCCACCGAGCTTTCAGAGAAGTAGGCTTTATGCAGTAGGTTCTGGTTGTAGAATGGTGGCCTTCAGTAGGCCACCCAAGCCAAACCACAGTGTCTTCTTGTGTTCCTACCTGGAAAAGTGTGATTTATTTTACTTGACGAAGTGTCTGCGAGAGAATCCAGAGACCCGGTTAGTCTGAAAAGCAAAAGCACAACAAAGAAGTCATTTTGACTCAACTCTGATCAAACCTACTGGTGGAGTCTGTCTTGTCAAACATGGATTCAGTTCTATCTCTCCCTTCTCCCTCCATCCCCAAGACACTAACATGCTATTTAGCATCTTCCTTGGTGACAGGGACAGTGGGATTGAGTGCACCCTCAGCACATTTGCAGATGGCACCAAGCTGTGTGCTGTGGTCGACACGCTGTAGTAAAGGAATGACACTCAGAGGGACCTTGACAGGCTTGAGAGGTGGGACCACACCACAGCTTCTTAAATGCAGCAAGGCCAAATGCAAGGTCCTGCACTTGGGCTGGGGCAATCCCAAGCACAAATACAGGCTGAGAAGAGTATAGGTTGAAAGCAACCCTGAAGAGAGGGACTTGGGGGTGTTGGTTGATGAAAAAGTTCAACATGAGCCAGCAATGTGCAAGTGCAGCCCAGAAAGCCAACCGGATCCTGGGCTGCATCTACAGAAGCGTGGCCAGCAGGCTGAGGGAGGTGATTCTCCCCCTCTCCTCCACTCTTGTGAGACCCCCACCTGGAGTACTGCATCCAACTCTGGAGCCCCCAGTGCAGGAGGGGCATTGACCTGTTGGAGCATGCCCAGAGGAGGGCTACGAAGATGATCAGAGCTCTGGAACACCTCTCCTACAAGGACAGGCTGAGAGAGTTGGAGTTATTCAGCTGGGAGACGACTCCAGGGAGATCTCATTGCAGCTCTCCAGCATCTGAAGGGGGCCTAAAGAAATCTGGGCAGGGAATTTTTATGAGGGTTTGTAATTACAGGATGAGAAGTAATGGGTTCAAAATGGAAGAGGGTAGATTTAAATAAGAAACTAGGAAGAAGTTTTTCACTGCGAGGGTAGAGAGTCAGTGGAACAGGTTGCCCAGGGAGGTTGTAGATGCCCCAAGACCAGGTTGGATGGGGCTTTGAGCAGCATGGTCTAGTGGGAGGTGTCCCTGTCCATGGCAGGGGGTTTGGAACTACATGATCTTTAAGGTCCCTTCCAACTCAAGCCATTCCATCATTTCAGCTGTAATGAGGCCGGTATGTAAGAGGTGCCCAGAGCAAACCAGTTTATTCCAGTCACTTGCCTTTTGCTCAGCAAGAGAGCATCGGTAAACTTGAGGCAAGTTCTTTAACAGTTTGCTTGAGCTTTGCTATTTGGGGAAAGAAAAGCAAGAACATGCCTGGCAGAGCAACTAGCTACAAATACAGAAGGAAAGAGCAGAGTACTCCTTGGACATCCTTCCTGCAGCCTAGCAAAGAGACTACAAAGTGATGGATGCTTTGGTTTCTCTGTGCAGTTAGCTGGAATAGGAACAGTATTTCCAGTCATATCCAAGGGCAACTCCCTTTTATAAGCACATTTAGCTCAGTGCGTCAGGGCTGGGTGATGAAAGTAACGTTTAATGGGCACAGACTGTATCAGAAATGGAGGCCCTGGAATGAAAATACTTGAAGTGGCTGCAAGAGAAACACAGGGAGCCCCATTTCCAATTTGTACTCCACTTTCAAAAGGCTGATCCAAAACCCACCAGGTTTTTAAATGGAGGTTATAAATTTCCATTAGCAGAAGAAAACATTTATTTCGTCCATATCTGCCGTAAAACTTCATTTCCCACTGGAAATGTATTAGGAGAGTGTCTGGCCACACAAACATCAAACAGCCTCAGTGCTTACCTCTGCACCCGAGAGGGTGGTGCGAAGACTCCGTAGCGGGGAAGACAACTGAAGTACTGCACCCCCCCCACGGAGCCGTCGTTCTTCCCGTGGGGCTTGTCCAGCTCAACGCCACACCAGAACCCTGCATGGCAAAACAGGCAGGTCACACCTTCTGAACAACACACCGCAGGCCCTCCTTCATCGGGGCAGCTGGTACAGTTGGCATTCACCCACATCAAGGAAAAGGGCTTCTAGTTAGAAATTAGATATTTCTAGTACATATTATAAATAATAATTGTAATTTTAAATATCTTTATAGTGTATATATAGTAATATAGAATTAGAGTAATTATAAGATATATATAAGTATAGTAAATATTATAAAGTAACTACCTATGTAACTGCAAACATTTTTATCAGAATAAATCTAAAGATAATTGCCTCAGCGTTGTTATATGCTTTCAGGAAAATTGACATTTTAATTAATATAGAAAAAGTAAAACTATATATACACTAAATACCTATACTTGATATATATACTAAAGCCAAATAGAATGTTACTGCTTAGAACAGTGGCTATTTGACAAAAAGGAGACATAGAAGAAGAACAGTGATGGTTCAGATTTCCCTCTTCAGTCCTCTGACCACACAGTTTATGCCTCACTTGAGATCATCAACAGTAAAATTAAAGTTTTGATATTAATTCATTCCTTCTCTCTGTCTAGCAAGGTATGATTAATACAAATTGCACTGCTGGTTGTATGGTATCAAGAGAAGGGTGTAAGAACCAGAACTGGCCAGCAATTCATCTCGTACAGAACACTGAATTAGGCATCAAGATGTTAATAAGCTTGATCATTCATAACCTGTGATAAATGTGAGCTAATTACATAAAGGTGCTAAATTTCATACTCCATTAGCAGTCCGTACGCTATCCATTCCCAGAAGATTCAAAATTTAATTCAAGTCACTTGGTACTAAGGCACTGGATAAAATGGTAATTGTAATTATCAGCTGCAGAAGCACAGGGATGACAGCTTATGAATTAGAAGGGCTCCATATGTCACAGGTTCCCCCTTTCCTTTTCTAGAATTAAACAAAGACCTGCATTGCAGCAAATGAAATAAACTTTGGGTAACTTCCAGAGCTTTGATGCATATTAAAATCAAAATACTTAAAAAATGCAGCTGCTAGGTTTTCTATAAACTACTGGTTTTGCAAATGGTGAAGATCTGTCATCTTTCCATCCTCACTTCTTACAATACTGTGTTTTTTCTCCAAAAAAATGTTGTTCCCTAATTTGGAGTGGAGAGGGAGGAAACTTATGCTGTCAAACAGCTTTCTGATGCTAGTTGTTCTAGTGAACATAGTCTGTGCTACAATCTTGCATTCTGTCACTGTAACTTTTTTTTAAATATTGATGCCACCACGTGTCAAGACAGAGTATTGCCACTTATGCACCAATCAAATGGACCTCATTTAAACTAGGTACTGACACCAGTACTTACCAACTCTTTGCATTACTGTTACAATAACGAGATTATAGATACAGACATAAAGAACATAGAATGTGATTACACCAAATAGTACTTAAAAATTAGTTTCCAGAATTTATAACAACTCGCTCCTGTTGGAAAGCACCTGGCTTCACTGCAAAGTGGTTTTTTAGTAAGGGGAAGGGAGGAAGGAAGATGTGTCCAGCAGGAAATGATCATGCCCCTGGACTTGGCACTGGTGAGGCCACAGCTTGAAAACTGTGTTCAGTTTTGGTCACCACAGTGTAAGAAGGACATTGAGGTGCTGGATGAGGTCCAGAGCAGGGCAACATGCTTCAGACATGGCTTATGAGGCTAACCTGAGGGAACTGGGATTGTTTAGTCTGGAGAAGAGGAAGGTCAGAGGAGACCTTCTTGCTCTCTACTGCTCCCTGAAAGGAGGTTGTAGTGAGGTGGGGGTTGGTCTCTTCTCCCAAGTAACTCGCAATAGGATGAGAGGAAATGGGCTTCAGTTGCTCCAGGAGAGGTTTCGATTGGATATTAGGAAGAATTTCTTTCCTGCAAGAGCAGTGGTGTTGGACCAGGCTGCCCAGGGAGGTGGTGGAGGCACCATCCCTGGAGGGGTTCAAAAGACATGTAGACCTGGTACTTCAGGACATGGTTTAGTGGCCGTAGTAGTGGTGCGTTGGGTTGGACTTGATGATCTTTTCCAACCTTAATGGTTCTGTGAAAATGGTGGTAGGGTTTGGACCTTCTTTAGATGTTTGTAACTTTTCATCAGTCCTATGGCCTAAAGGCTTGCTAGTTAAGATTTAAGTATTCATAATTACCCTCTTAAGGATACCAAGAAGATAAGATTGAGACAGGCACAACAGAGTAAGTGTACAGGATTGCTGTGTCACAAAGACTTACTACAAAAAGCAAGGAGTAAAGGCATGTGATCTCAGTAAACTACTTATCACTCTGGAGACTAAACTGAGGATTTTCAGAAAGCTCTGTTACAATCCCTACCATTTCAACATCAAAATATTTCTTCTCATTAAGCTGTGTTAGTAGACAAGTAAAAGTCACATTTTAAACCATTATTTTTTTGTCTTGGTAGTCACATTGAGGTAAAAAATATTCAATGAGAAATAGGAAAGAGTAAGAACTTTGAAACAAACCAGTAAATTTATAATTTTTTTGAGAGAGTGAGGAAAAAGATGGGAGTTCTCTTAATGTTCATGGGCTCACATGTAAACTACTGCATAATGACTCCACAACATACACAAGGAGTATTTCAAGTACCTGGTGCAAATTTTGTAGTCCCACAAAATCTAACAGTGCCTGTTCTCTGTCCTACCACCAATACTCTGTCTCCAACCTGGATTTCTCGTTCGTCAAAAGGACTTTTCCTCGTAGCCGGAGAACTATAGAACCCTGGTCAAGAGAAGAACAAGATCCAAAATTAGTGACACTGTATCTTTAAAATTTAAGAAAGTCTTCAACAGCAAGCCAACTGACTGGTAAAGAGAGCATCTGTCTCTAACAGTGTACTCTTAACACATGGCCACACACCACAAATTTTGCTTATCTCAAGAATCGCTTTGCTTCAGGATGAAAACTATGGACTACAGTTGAAAGGCAGAGTGACCAAAGACAAGAACACTTGTCCTTTTGGAGACATTCCATTAAAAGTTGCCAAACACATTTATGGTTAAACTACTTCCCAAGTGTCTTCCTTGCACGATGTCAGATTCTGAAACAGCCCAAGAAGTAAGCACGAAGAAGTAGAGCAGTAAGGTCCCACCTGTGGAAATACACCTCAATAAAACAGCCCGTACCAGCACCAATCTTAGCTGAGGCAGGAGACACTCGAGTCACTGCCTTCTTATTGCCAGCTGAGTTCCGCTTCTTGGCGTATTTCTGTTTGCCTTCCAAGGAGGTAGTAGAAGAAGAAGAGCTGCTGTACCCAGGAAAACCTAAAATACACAAATGGAAATAGTCCATCAGAGATCCTACTCAAAAAAAGGGATAGATTAATCAGAAGGGAAAGCTGCTGTAAGGAGGAAGTTACCTGTTCTTCATGGCAGGCAGAGCACAAAGTAAAGAGACAAATTACAAGTTTTTTCAAGCAGCATTTACACAAACACCTGTCAGGAATGACATGGACCCTGGGAATAAGGTGATAGCCAAGTGCTGGACAAGGTCTCCAAAAAGCCCTTTGTTATTACTCTGAGGCTTCTTCTAAACAGTCCCAAGCAGATTTATTACAATATGGAAGCCTCGGTAATAAGAGATCACACCACCACAATTCCAGCATCCAGCCTATTAAAGATTTGATGAGAAGTGGAAGGAAGGTGATATTATGTGAGTGAGTTATTGTCTGGATTAAAGCCTATTATATTCCATTACATACTGTATTAATATTAAAATCTGTACTATAAAATAAGAATGGGAAATAAATCACTTTTATCTCCATTTAGAAACCCTGACATCTAAACTGTCCGATAAGACTTATGTTTAGCTTTCCTCTTTTGTTTTCAAGGCTCTCATCAGTTCTCCCCTCTCCTACCCCCTTTTCCACCCAAAATGAGGCAGAGTACAGCAAGACACATCTATGCCTCAGTTTCTCAATGCAAAAAATGAATTGCTTATCAAACTTTCCAGAATTCTGAGAGGCTTAATTCATTAGTTTTCACAAAGCACCTTGATATCAACACAGGGTTAGCGCGTTCAAGAATTAAATCCTCCAATTTGGCAACACAGTGAAAAGCTGCAGAAAGGCAAACGCAGCAGGTCAAAGCAAAAGCTGAGGTATCTGGGGACAGAGATCTAAAGGCTCTGAGGTACTGGCTGCAGCTCTGCTACAATGAAAAAAATGCAAATTACTAAAAAAAAAAAATGGCAACTAGACAAGCTTCCAAGTCCAAGGTATAAATATATGCGTCTGTCCGCAAACACATACTGCAAGTCCACATTTGGAAGTCAGTCTGGTGAGGGATTCAGCAGAGGTCAGACCACCTAGCACTGCTGCACAGGCACAACAAAACCACTGAAACTAAACCAGACATTGATGCTTCCTTTTGTGAGAAATCATGAGGCAGGGGAAGGAAGAGCAGGTCCTCTAACCCATTCATCTTCCATCGGGCAAAACAATTATTTGTTAGCTCATTCCTGACAGGTGTGCATGACCTCTTCTGAAGAGCCTCCCATCAAGGAGATCTCAGGACTTCCTCAGCAATGTATTTCACCACACAATTATCTGTACTGTTACAGCGTTTTTTCCCCCCCCCAATATAAAACCTAAATTACCACAGTCTTAGCTCAAGACTTCTTACTCTCATTACACATGCAGAATGGGTTATAACCATTCTTTGTACTTGAACAATTCCTGTTTTATCCCTCTAATTGTCTGTCTTTTTAATCGCACAATCATAAATTCCAACAGTCTTTTCTCCTAAGTCATGTTTTATACCTCCAGTTATTGTGGCGTCTTCTCCGAATTCTCTCCACTTGATTCTCATCTTTCACATGCAGTGTCTAAAACCAGACACAGTGTTCTACCTTGGGCCTTATCTATGCCAGGGAAAGCATTCAGGTCACTTTGTGTACCTCACAGCGGAAGCTCCATCTTTATATATTCCAGTATTTTTCCCCTTTTGCAATGGCATAACAAAAATGACTCTTGCCTACCTTGTAATACTCAATATCCCTATGTCCTTTTATACAAACTCTTTCCAGGCATGTCATTCTCAGGGTGTATTTGTACAGCTGACTGTTTCAGTACTGCTACAGAACTTTGTAGTTTTCCTTACTCCTTTCCATCTTCCCTGTCCCTCACGCCCTGGGCCTTTTTTCTGATTTGTCAAGGGTTTTAGGGAGGTTGGGGATTAAAAAAAAAAAAAAAAAAAACAAACAAAACAACAACACCACCAACCACACACCAAAAAAACCCCACACAAAAAAAAAAAAGAAAAACTCAGCACAAACTCCAGGAAAACCTCAAGCTGAAGGAGTTCTTATTTGACAAAGAACCACTGCCAACTATTTTCTAAGTTAGATGTTCCTAAAGGGTTCTGCACCTGCCTTATAGCAGTATCATCTAAACCACTAAATCCCAAAATGAGGCTTCAGACCACATCACTTGGGCCCTGCAAAGCCTTTGGAGTCCTATAAATTGTGGATATTGTGTTGTATCCATCAAACAGAGACACTGTGCTGCCAATTTAATTTCATTGTGTGACCAGAACCTGCAGACCAAGCCATTAAGTGCTCCCCATGAATACAAGACTGGAAACCTCTGTCTACACAGGTTTTTTAGCTCGCCTCTGGAAAAGTATCATACAGGACAGTACTTAAATACCTTACACTAGCCTCTTCCTCAAGTCTCCTCCTCATAACTGTTCACTTACAAAGGATATAAAAAGATGCTTTTCTTGAAAGAAGGTATCTTCAAATTTACACTTCAAATTATTTCAAAGAAATATTGCTTTTACCAACACTTCCAGAATGATTTTATAGACAAAACCTCAAAGGAGACATGGCTTTTTACAGTTTGTTAAAGACACCCCTGAAAGTGAGATCCCTTTATTTTTAAAGTTCAGCAAACAAAATACTGAAGCAGTAGAAGTCAGTCTCCAGTTCTGAAACTAGATAATTGCAGAGAAAGATTCATATGTAAAAGGAACTTTTTAAAAAGCTAGTTTCATTTTTCATGTTTGATTCATTTTCATATTTCTCATTTCTTATGAGTCAGCCATGACACAATGCCAAGACTGTTAAGTGCTCTTAGATGATGACACTTCATTCTACCAGCCTGAACATACAGATACAGGAGAGAATAAAAATTCCAACTGAATACGTGAACAATTCTTCATTAAAATCTAAGCAGTGATGATACAGGGCAAGAGGTCCCCCTCAGAAACCTAAGAAGGTAATTCCGCAGATCCTCTGTAAGACCATTTGTTAAGAGACAGTCTTCAGCTTTAAGGGCCTGTCTATATTCTTGCCCATGTATTTGGATAGAAGCTGTTGCCGAACCAACACAGAATGCCACCCGAACATCCACACAAATCACTCGTGTTCTAGTAAGCTAAAAGTGTACAGCCTGCTTGGGACTGGAATACAGAGAGATAAGGCGACTTCTCTGTAGTGTAGATACAGGACTTTTAAAGAGATAAGGCAGTAATAATTCCTCTGCCCCAGCCAATTTTTTTTTCCTCAAGATGTTAGAAAATAATAAAAAAAAGTTACCATCTTTTGCAGGTAGAGTTTTTCCCCTGTTAGCAGTCACAAAGTTGGTTTCGGAAGCACTGTCTTTTTTTGCCATGTTCAGGCCTATGAAAATAATATTTACAATTAGATATACACATCCTAACAATGAGCAATAATTTTACAGGAAGGTGATGCACAAAAACAACTGGACAGATTTGCAGATTAGCGGATGCAAGGATAAAACAGATAACACAATACAATTCCCTAGACTCTGAATAAGTGAGTAAAACAAGACTGCAGAATTGTTTTGGTGGATAAGCACAAACGTTAAACACCTTAACACATTAAACCAGTCCAAACTACCTTGCCAGCAATAAAAAAAAAAAAAAAATTGTCTGCAAAAGACTAATATTTATATTGGAGTCTTACTTAAATCTTTCACACATTTACATCTATTATATACACAACATTCACTTTTATAGTACTTAATGTATGCTACTCACTAGTATCACGATTTCTACATTAAAGATTACAAACAAAAGTTCTGGGAGAGAGATTTGAGATCAAATCTTCATTCAGTCTACAAATAATGAAGGATGCCAATATGATTTTTAAGAGCCCAACTCAGATCAGCAATGTTGTGATAGGCATATGAACTAGTAGGGCCATGTAAATTATTTGTGAAGAGTCATTTTGCATTTCTGACAGTCTCCTGCCCTAAACTCAATGAAGAACAAACTTATCTGTGATTTATCCCCTCCATGTCATGAAAAGAAAAATAATCACAACTTTAACTAATCTCTCAGCTTAATTCAACTACATTTGAACTAGTTTGCAAATGTACTGTATTTTTCAAAATTTAATGGTTTAGCCAGTTTGTGACATTTCTCAATTTGATCACAGTAATCCTTTTCCTAAAAATCTGGAAAAGATCTAGTATCAATCTGATGGATTATTCAAATCCAGTAAAAGCAACTCAAATTTAAAATCCCTATACAGTATTATATTTTACCTTGCAGCTTATAACTGTAATCTACAAAAAGCGTATTAGTTTTTCTTGGATTGTTACAAACCACAGTGTAGCAGAGATGAAGTTTAAAGGAAAGAAATGTAATCTGGTGATGCATGTAAATATTGTAGAACAAAATTCTGCCCCTGCAGCTTTATCCTCCTACTCCAGGCAGGGAATCCCAGCCGGGACCAGGAATTCTAATGGACCTTCCAATGCAAGAAGGTCTTAAAAACGGCAGCTTCCAGATTTACTGTTAGTGGATGCAAGCTCTGCTGGGCAGATGATCCATAATTCACTCCAATTTTTACCTACAGAGAAGTACCAAACGTTTACAATTTACAAAGGCAGGAATTCACCTTTGTGAACAGAAAAGGTGGTTTATGACTGAGCTGCTTGGGACACGTCACCTGTGACAAGGGAAACGGTCCTTTCCCTTACGAATTTAATGCTTACGAACAGCTCACACCAGACTGAATCAAACTGTTGAAAAATATGGAACAGAAAAAGTCAGCTTAGATCTGCTCTTGAGCAATGCTCCCAACAAACCGATTATTCTGAGAAGCTTTTTATGCAAATGTCCATCTATAAATAGCTTAGTTCTTGTGCTAATTGTAAATACATCACTAAAGCTTACTTCTCCCTCAATCTACATAGATAAGAGTTACATAAGTCATCCAAAACGCTGCCAAACTGCATCTCCTGCACCAGCCTGGTACACTGTCTCTATGCCCTGCAAATTGCTGGTAAAGAGCAAAGAGATTTTGGGTGCTTGAGTAACTTCGGGAAGAATGTCTGCTATCTTCCATCCCTTAAGCTGTGCTGCCTTAGTCTGAGTCACCTAAACAGGGTTCAAAAGACAAAAGAATGCTAATGTAATCTGTTTAAGGACATTATTATGTAGCCAGCCAGACTAGACAGGGTGGGCATCTGTCTGCAGTGCAAAAGGCTTGGGAGCTAACCAGACAGAAAAGGTGCGTCACACACGTCACTGGTACTTCACACGGAGGGAACTGACACAGAAGGATTAAGAGGGAACTGACACAGAAGGATTAAGAGGGAACTGACACAGAAGGATTAAGTCATTTGGGTAAATTACTCAGAAACTAAACCAGAGCCAGGGACCGAGCCTGTAACAACTGGTAGACTGAGGCAGACTCTCTTCTGATTTGCTTCTGGTTTTACTCAGATAACTTAATTAGCAGATGAAACAATCAGTTAAATAGCTCCTTGATAATTTTGCCAGAAAATAAATTAAATTTCTTCAATTTCTATACATAAAGTGGTACACAGATCAGTTTCTAGATTTTCACTGATTTCAGTGAGATGTTTCAAGTTACCCAGGAAGATCTTAGTATGTGCAATCACAATAAGTTTAGACTGAACTGGTATCACAGCCAATCAGAAATTACTTTAATTTCTCAAGAATAAATGTTGTGGTGAACTTTTATAATATATAAAGATGATAACCTGTCAGAGTACATCAGATCACTATAATCACTAAACAGCTACACACAACACCCTTCCAGTACCAGTTTACAGGCTAGTGAACTTCTTCTAATGACAACACATAGTTAATAAATATCTTATCACCTTCTCGTCCCAAGTGACAAACTGAATCCTAACAAGTGTTTAATACCAAGGTTTACAGGGCTGCTGCAAATTCATGAAGATCAGTGTCTCACAGCCCTGTCTCATCAATAATATACTGACCAGAATTCACTTTGGAAGTTATGTGTGTCACATCTATTTTCTTGGACTTGACCAAAGGTGAAGACCGCGTGGAAGAACTTCGTACAGAACTTTTTTTGTGATCAGAAGCCTTGGTTATTTTAGAAAGAGGTGCAAAGATACCTGGAGAGAAAATTATACAAGCAAAAAAAGAACCAGGGGTAACATTAATGTAACAAAACTTTCTGGCTGCTATCTGTCGCATCAATTAATTAAGGGTTTTTTTCAGCCACGATCACAGCTTGCTACACTGTCAAAGCATTTGTAGTGTAAGGACTAGCTCAACCAGTGAAACAAAAAGTTTATCAACCAACTTGAACAGAGTAATTCAAGAAGTCAGTAAAACTATTACTTAGAATCTTCTTATTGTCCTAGCAAGTCCACAAGACTTTGTATACCATGAATGTCCAAAAAATATCAATTAAATCAAGCTGAAAGCTAGATAACTACAAGTGTGAATCTCTTAGAAATGAAGACAAAGCAGGTGAAGAAACATGGCTGTTATTGTTACAACACAAAAAGCTTCAACAATATAGATGGAAAACCAGGAAAGATTATTACCTGTTTCAAAGAAATAACCACACATTTTGACTGGTTGATTGTTTCAGTGGTTTTCCAAATAGTTGCAGCCAAAACATTAGAAACAGTTAAAAGAATCAATAAAAAAAAAAACAGCATCACAAAGAAAAGCAACAGAATTTATTATCTGTTTTTATTCTCCCAAAAGGTTCAAACCTTCCTACACTTTTTTAAACATTCAGGTTTTTAAAAAATGTAAGAAAAAAAATGAGAGGTTATACCACGTTTCGGGGCACACTTGAAGTACTGGACTTTTCCAACACTTCCATTGTTCTTTCCTTCTGGTTCATCCAGCTCTACGCCAGCCCACTGGCCACTGGCAAATTCCGTTGTGCCACAAAATCTTAATGTACCAACCTAAAGCAAAAAGCATCAACACAGAATGAGCTTGTTTAAACTGGTATTGTTGACAAGAACACAGTGTAGATTAGGAAGGAAATGTCAAGTCATCTCCAAGCTTTGGGTCAGAACAACACAGAGGTAACCACCTCCCTTCCTTATTGACACTCCCATCTTTTAATGCCTGCCAATGAATTTTTCAGAAGGTCTATTTTGTAATAAACAAAAGCAGTCGTTGACAGATCTTGTAACAGACAAGAATTAGACAGTGAGCACCACTGTGCAAAGCAAGTCAGCAAGGCACAGGAGCACGTGCCTCCTGAGGAGTTTTACTTTCAGTGTCTTCCACAGTAATAGTTTCAGGATGATGGCTAGGTACCTTGCTGAACGCCAGATTCCGTGGAGATACTAGGTAAAAAGTCCTATAGATATATCTATTGCAAAGGTTAAAGGGTAAAACTTCAGAGCATAAATTTTTTCTTTGGAAAAGATTAGTCATTTATTTTCACCTTATGATTAAGCAAGATTTTAAAAGCCCCCCAATGTTTTACACACGTTGTTGTTGTTCCAATGTATACTATACTACCTCATCTGCACAGGTAAGTATATCAAGAATATCAAGACAGACTAGTCTTGCTGGTGGACCTCAGTCTCCACAAATATACATTAGAAGCTCACACACTTCAACCAAATTGGAGGAATAATGAACAGAGATGCATTTAACATTGATTTAAATTCATTTTTATATTTGATTTTTAAAATAGTTTTAGTAATAAAAATCTTTGATCTTTCACTTGCTCAGTTTTCATTATCTCATGTGACCTTGATATTATTACTTCATATTTTATGATGACTTCACTGTCTAATCTAGTCCTCAGAGAGTAAACAGACAGAAACCATTTCTTTTTCTTCACTGTAAAACCTTCCAGCTACTCTTTCTTCATGATCTGTACAGAAATAAGCACGACCCAGAGCCTGTTCTTCTTCTACTCTGAAAATCTCCTTTAAACTTGATTGTGATAGGCAGGTACATGACACTGATCCAGCCAGAGGAAGCTTGGCCAATCAGCCCAACAGATTCCTCCATGCTTCAGGTGCCAGCCAAAGGGCACCTCCTGAACAGGGAGAAAACCTTCTGGAATCTTAACCTGGACACAGAGATGGCAAAACTGAGGCTCTCAGAGGACTCGTGCAGGTAGAGCAGAGGACACCTCGCAGATGAGAAGCAAATTTCCCTGCACTCACATTTCATTGAGTGTCTATGCAGATAACACGATCCAGTACAACAGGAGAGGGTGAAGCTGGGGGACTCCAGATCATGGAGTCACATCAACACCTGCTTAGACAGCCTCCTACTCTGTGAGACAACTAGAATGACGGGTGCGGCAGGAATCAAGGGAGGAATGCATTTTCCCTCTGGCATTTACTGTGTTTGGCTTTCAAGCTTCATTAAAGTTGATATATTAGGAGATTGCAGAAGCAGGGAGGAGAACAGGAATCTATAAACACTGCTTGTAAAAATGCTGCTGTTCCAGAGCCCATCCCAGCTCCTGTATTCCAGAAACAAGAACGTCCCCAAGAGGCGGTTAAGAACAGGCACCACTTTCATCATCCTGTTCTCACCATTTACTGCACCCTGCACACATTTATGAGTATCACGAGGGAGGGGAAGACAGGGCTGAGATCAGCTTCCCCATTCAGGCAACGGAGAACGTGGGTGGGAAACTATGTGGGAGGAGTGCAGAACAGCTCCTCGCACACAAAGAGAGGAAGGGAGGAAAGCAGACTTGGAAAAGGAAGACCAAAAAAGCACAATCACGTTCTTCCTTCCCACCTGCCCTATAACAGCTTTGGCTCCCTTAAAAAAAAAACAGCTAGCTGAAAAGCCCTGCTGGCCTTTGGCAGCAGAAAAACTGCTTCCAGCAACAACTTAAAAACACTGTAATAGTATACTCAATTTTAAGGAAGAAAAAAAAAAGCACCTAAACCCAGGAAGCTTTATCCATACACAATAAGTACATCACAGTACAAACAGTCCATGTGCCTTACTTGGAGGGCAGATACACAAAAGGACTAATTTCTTCCCTTTCTTGTTATAAAGCCTCCATTAACTTGCAGCTACATCATCTCCCCTTGTTTTCACTGTGCAATGGCTTTCTGTAAAAGAAACCTCTGTGAACTTCTTACCCTCTTTAAAGACTAAGCAGCTTCCCCTACATAGTTCAGTCAAAATGCCTTCTGCACAGCAAGCAATTCCTTCACTTTTCCTGACCCAATTTCAACACGACACCAAATGAAAATACAGAATGGAAGCTGCTTTGCACCCTTGGAGGCGTTCACTTTAAGACGTGTCAGCTGCAACAATTACAAATCTGAAGTTACATTAGAAAAATCATTAGAGGTAAAGCTACTCAAATATAACATTTTGGTCACAACTCTCTTCAATATTTACCAGAAAAATATCTGAAATCTTTAAAAGAGTTCTACCACTCTTAAATCATCTCAGAACCCTTGCTATCAGAGCAAATAAAAGGTATGAATACTAACTGTGACACTGATGTGACAATTTTGATACGCATTTTTCAGATGTGTCTAGCAAAGTAGCTTCTTAAAAGCTATTCACATTTCAGCTGGAGCAATATTAGCTACCTTCTTATACTTCCACAGAACTATATAACAGCCCCATTGGCACAGCACTGCTTCAAAGATTTCAGCTGCATTGCACCAGTGAAATTTGGTTACTACAGGCTAAGCAGCATTGAATTTTCCTTTTACTGCCTTCTGGAAACTATCAGGGGTAATTCAACATACTCATAACTGAAAGCTGGGCGACTCACAACGTACTCTCTAAATTTTACCATCATTTTGATGTGACACCAAAAATGTTAATAAAAGCTGAGACATGCTGATGTGCTATAGGAGACTGTTACAAAATTGTTTGCAGATACAAAATGCAGACTGTGCCTGTCAAAACAGCTTTTCACAGTAGTGACATTAACACACAACCGTTCAGCTTATTGCCTTCTGAAACCAGATCCTTACTGCCATCCAGAGTTGATATCTCCCAGAAAGGGTTACAGACCCTCAAATTTGAGATATGTCTCCAAAGGGGTAAATAAATTGACTGTCCAGAAATTATGAGAGTAATATTAGGTCGCTCGTCATACCTTCTGTCCTGCAATAACAACACGATCCCCCAGCTTCAGGCCAAGTGATAATAGCATGGCCTTGCCCGTGACATGGTCATAGTTTGGAATCATGGCTTTTGAGATGTCACATGAGAGAGGCACTGCATCCAGCAATATCTGCTTGATTTCCTTTGCGCTGGCCGCTGCATCTGCCATTTCCAGTGGCATATCTACTGGGTCAGGAACCACATCTGCTGGAATCTGCCCTTTGTCGTTCTGTAGGAACACAGCATAGCACAAGAGTTAATGTCGTGACAAGATAAACCTGATGAGGCAAAACCACATCATGTTATGAAGTGTTTCATTCTCATCATTAGATAGTTTTTCCCAGAATATAAACATTTGTAACAACATCCACATTTTGACATAAGGATGTCAAAACATCCTTAAATATATAAGCTAGCATTTGCAGCGTCTTATTTTCAAAAGTGTGAAGTTACCAAAACTTTAAAGCATAAGAGCATTATTAGTACTCAGACCACATGAAAAAACATACCTGTATGTATCTGTGTACCTGAACAGAGATTTAGGAAAGTAAGGAAGAATTCTGGTGTGTAATGCCAGTGCAGTAAAGCTCTCACCTCCCAAAGAATTTCTCTTTACCTAGTGTATAGTTTACTCCTTTGTGTATAGAATACACGAAGCCCATGTCTCACATAACTACTCGAGTGTATCTGTTTTGGTTTATTTAGATACAGACTATTCCATGAGAGATGAATTAAGGACAGAGTCCCCTCCAAACCTTTCCCATTCCCAGAGAGCATTGACTGTGATTCCCCATAGCTCCCACGCGACACTCGCCCTAGGCCAGAGTTGTTGGGGTACCAGCTCACCTGGAGCTAACTCACTCCAGCCCAGCTGGCCAGACAGCAAGGACACTGCTGGGCTGCCAGGCTGCCTTCAGCAAAGGCCTTAGTATGGACCCGCACCTATCTGCCAATTTTCACAAGGTTTGTGGAAATGTAATAACCTCAGTCTTCCAAATTTGTCTCAGCTGAGCTCCTGGACTCAGTATCAGAAGCTCAAAGAGGGCATGATACAAGATTGTATCTGCTTGGCTTCCTTAAACAGACCAAAAGCTCAACCTTGCCTGAACCTCTTATAAATCTCCCTGCCCCAGCCCTAGAAAACTACAATCCTTGCTCAGCATTTACACTCTGCTGTCCTCACATAGGCAAACTCTACACGCTGTCTATGGTTAGGACTTCACTGTGGGACTGAAGAATCAAATACCTGCCTTCCTCAAAAAAAATGTACTACTGCCATTCTGTAAGTAAAAGATCAGCCCCATTCCAGTCTCCGAACCTTGATAACAGCTTACAGCTGGGTTAGGGGTGAGTGGGGAGTTTGCTTTGCATTTTTGGTCATCCCATTAGTGACTGTTCCAGTCACATAAGACCTGCAATTCAGCCCACCAGGTGTCCTGCAAATCTTTGTGTCAACACTAGGTAGGAGGCAGAGCAAAAGCAAGAAGGTACAGTGGCACAGGGTTGCTTTTTTGCTTTCCTTTTGACAGCTCAGAATGCTTGGGCAACTCCAAAGCAGTACTACCTGTGCCAACAGACTCTTAAGCATACAGCTGCCATAGAACTCGACACACGAACACGCACACAACATAAGGAGGCAAAGAAAAACAGTGCTTTTAAACAGCTCGAGACTGGATATCATGAACTATATGAACAAGGATGTTCCAGAAGACTTCACACCATCAGGGATTCATAATTACTTTTGAGTACCTTTAAAACAAGTATAATTCCGTATTAAAAAACACCCTGAATCTGAAAATGGGGAATTGAGACATTGTCTAGGAAAGGGAAAAAAAAAAAAAAAAAAAAAAAAAAACAAACCATAAACAAGGATAGAAACAAAAATCTACCACAAAAAAACAATCGGTCCCCAAGATTTGTGGCTGGACAATACGGTGTAACTCAAGCCTACTACTTGGCTAGTCAGCAGAGCAGTTAATGTCTCTTCATTATCAGCTACTTAAGACCAAATTTACTGCTAAGCAATACACTGCCTTTCTGGAGGTCACAGGCTTCACTCCTGTCCTGCTGC